CTTATACAAGTCTTCAAGCTTATAACTTTTTGGCTCATTCTTTGTAGATATAAGATTTGAGCTAGTTTCTCCATGTTGTGATGTTTTGAGAGATTAGTTGTAATAAAGTTTTCAACTTTATTGCTCTATGAGGTCCCAAGAGTGTTCTATGTTTCAGATATGGACTCAGAACTTGTTTTGGTGACATGCATGGGGTTTTGACCTCATTTTCACCATTTTAACATACTTTGGTGAAGGACATGCATGGCCATAAAATTACAATTTTTTATGGACCATTAGGGTGTCATGAAGCTTTCTGGAAAGTATTAGAAACAAACTTAATAGATTAAGAGTTGAATCAGGATCTAAATCTTCCAAGCGGACCGCGACATAGTCAAAGGCTTACCACAACACGAGTGGGCGCAGATTCATTGCGATGATTTTGACCGAGTTGGACCACAACGCGGTCAGGGTCTCGGCAGCATGGTGGTCGTTGACCGTTGACTTTTTGACCAGTTTTGACTTTTGGTCAAATGTTAGTGAAAGTGTATCTCAGGCTTTTGTGCAAAATGGTCTTTTTCCCTAGGATAAGGATTAGGAAAAAGGAAAGACTCAGTTAAAAGAGAAAGTTAAGTAATATGCCTTAGTAACTAAATTATGGTTAATTATTGTGTAGTGGCTCTAAGCAGTGTCAGATCCACCTAGCTTGTTATGTGGATGAGTTTATCAGTCACTCATGTGAGTTCTCATGAACTTACTTATTATGTAGGCTATGTGTTATATGTATGTTAACTAGAGATCAGCCCTTTAGGGAATCTAGTGGAATCAAGTCCATGATAGACCTATCTGAGGGAAGTGGCCAAGACCATGACAGACCTCATGAGGGGAAATGGTCAATACCATGTTAACTAGATTTAGACCTCTCAGAGGGAATCCGTTGGATTGTGGTAAGTTATGTTAGCATACTATTATGTGTTATGAGTTCAAATTTATATGATTATAGCTTGATTTTTATGTGTTATGATGTGAAGTGCACATGATATGTATAATGGGTGAGTGTTGTGATTACTCACTAAGCCTTAGGTTTACAGTTGCTACTTTATTTGTTTACATGTAGGTCCTTCAGGTTCGAAGAGCAAGGAGTTAGCTTGTGTAACGCTCGCGTTTCTAAGCTAAGCATTAATATGATGATGTAATAGTTAGGGTCAATAATTGTAACTCATTTAGAAGTAATAAAGAGGAATTACTTAAATATTATGTGAATTATGTGATTTTATGTGCATTATACTTATTTATAAGATATAATAAAATTAAGAATGAAAATAAGCGCCAAAAATAAAAATATAGATGAACTCGATATCTATGAAGAAAGTTGTAGAGGTCGTGACCTGTCGAAGTTTCGCGACAAAACCGGCATGACGCTGTGTGACGTAAAAACTGAGTTTACGATAAAGAGATTTTTAGCCTTAGCGATCTAAACGAAAGTCTTAGTATACGTTAAACTGAGAGCGTGCATAAAAAGAACGTCCAAATCTAACTTCGTATGAGGAAGTTATGAATTTTCTAAGATTTGACATAGTAATGTGCAGCCCGGAGTTTGAATTTTAGATCGAGCGATTTTTAGCCGACATAACCTAAATGAGAATTGAAGATCTCATTAATAGGAGTTCAACGATAAAAAGACAGTCGAAAACGGAGTCCGTATGTAGAAGTTATGAATTTTACACGGTCGTTAAACAGTGTAATCTTCTCATACTGTTAAATTTAAAATCGGTCGAGAATTAGCCGATGGAGTAAAAAGGAGACTTGTAGATCTTGTCAATACCTACACGTGGATATAAAGAACGTCGGAAACGGAGCTCTTATGCGAAAGTTATGGGGTTTAGAAGTCAGAAGGGTGCTGCTGCGAAGTGGGTGACATGGCGCAATCTGAGCCAGTGCTTTCTCCCCACCAAATGACGACAAGTGACACCAACTCGATGAGTTGGAACAGAAACTTGACGAGTTTGGGTCCAGAAAATCGATGAGTTGGGTCATAAACTCGACGAGTTCATCACTTTTTCAGCCTATAAATACCACATTAGGATGATTTGAATATGTTTGGAAGCTAGAGTAGAAAAGGGGAAAGAATTTAAGTTAGTTGACCTAACTTCCTAAGGTAAGTACATGGGAAAGAATTTAAGTTAGTTGACCTAACTTCCTAAGGTAAGTACTTTTCCCGATATATGATACATGAAATGATTAAAAAGATATATTCTTGAAAGATTTTACTTAGTTTTCAAGCATGCTAAGTGTTTAGTTACACATCTTTTTTTTTAGTAAAGTGATATGTTCACAAGTTATTACTAATGATATAACATGCTAATTCATTTATTGCTTTTCTGAGTCCAAAGTTATTGAATATCTTTCATATTAGACATAGTTATTAAAAACGTTTACAACTTTTGAATGCCTTCTTTATTAGAAATATTTATTGTGCAAGAATAACACTTCATGGTATTTGTGTATGATATAATTGTATAAAAGAAAAGCAGTGTCCATTTATACATTGAGTGTGATTGCATAGTAGCAATATTATATAACTTGGTCTAGTTGTTCTCATTCGAGTACTTAGAATCGGATATGTATCGAGTGGATATTCTGGAAATCGGTCAAAAAATCAAAATCGGTCGAACTAAGCAAACTCGAGAATTTTGACCTTTTTCAAATAAACAACACGATTAAGTAACTAATTTACCTTATATATCATATATTAAGTTATTTTTTAAACATTTTGTTGTTTAATTTTAACTTTGTTCAGTTTAATGTAAATTTTATGGAAAAGAAAAAAAAAATGAAGGCTGATGATTAAATGAGTAGTCCTCGTCTAGACCGGTTATTAGCTACTCCCTAGTCGATTGACTAAGTACCGCCAATCAACTTTTGCAACATTGCATAGTAGTAAAGTAACGTCCGAACAATAAAGATATCCCAAGAACGTGATAAGCAAAGATTCTACTAGGATGGTACCTCCAGTTGTGAAATAGAAACATATAAACATGAGAGCCATTATAGGTTGATTCATTCGACCTATTTTGGCCAGCTTGTAGAGTGTCATGTGTGATGACATGGTCTCTTATATACAGATTAGTTTCGCGTTACGCGAGGTGACATGGTCTTTATTATATAGACTCAGATACGGGATGGCCTGTAAGCTTTAGCATTTAAGTGTGATAAATTGATGATACACATAGTGTACATAAAATGTTGCATGAAGTATTTTAAAGAAAATATGTTCGATAAATGTTTACAAAACTTTATTGTGTCTAAAACCCATGGAGCTCACCAAACGATTTCACATTACCTATTGTATTTTAAAATGTCATGAATTTCACGTTTAAATACAAAGATTTAGAAGTCTTTGTTCCTAGATGATCTTTTGTTGATGCCTTAAAAGATTGGGCTGTTGTCACGTAGGAGTGAAGCTTGTAAATGACGAAGTACTTGAACTTAGCTTTTATAGTTTATGTTTGCTATTGTGATATAAGTTATAAGTTGTAACCCTTGAGTTGTGTAAACGCCTCACAAATGTTTTGGGTTCGTTTGGGACCAAAATTTTAGATATGGCTCAATGCCATAACCAAAAGTATTTACAATATATGATTTAATACCAGAAGGTTTTTTTTTCTTGAAATTGAATATTTAAAAGTGTATAAAAATGGGATGTTATAGTAAACCGACCACATATTTAGCAACGAGAAATTTGTTTATTTAATAAATGAGTGAATATTTACAAGATATTTTATTAACAAACAAAAATGAATAATGATCTCATTCGTTCACTAATATTTATTCTAGCAATATCTATTTAAGTGCTTGTAAATATATATTCAATTATATTTGTTCTTGATTTGGATGTTTATGTTTATTTATTTATACGTATGTTCTAGATTTGGATGTTTATATTTGTTCATTTATGTTTATTCGTTTATGATCTTTTATGTTTGTTCGTTTAGTTCATTGAACTTCTTAATGAATAGAAACAATGTAACATGTTAAATGAACGACACAAACAAGATCATTTATGTGCAGGGGCGTATCTTACAAGTAAGAAGGGGCGTATCTAACAAAAAAGAAGGTAGGTCCTAGGACCTACCTAAAATTTAAATTTCATTTATAATATATATACCATAAAAATTAGGAACTATCTTAGAAAAAACAGAGGACCTACCTTGAGTTTGTTTTTTTTTACATGTCTTAAAAAACACTTTTAAAAGGGGCATAATATATAGGGTTAAATATAATATATAATTTTTATCAAACAATAAGGTATCAATACACTAATAATCAACTAGATTTTCATTAAATCGTTCAGTTTTTTCAATTATATTTCAGTCGGTTTTTTTTTTTAAATTTTAATTGGTGGTGCCTGATCGGTTTTTTCAGTTATATTTCATTAAATCGTACACGACCCCACCCGGCCCGACCCCTCACAAGTGTTGATTTTTTTTATCTGTTTTACTTAATTTGGGAACTACGTGATATTTTGTTCTAGATTCGTCACTGTTTATGTGTTCACGTTCGTTTATCTGATTAGCTTAAACGAAAGAACATAAATAAGCCCTAGTTCTTGTTCGGTTATGTTACAGCATTTTTTATGTTGGAAGCCTTTTTTTATCATTAAAATATAAAACAAGTTGATTTAGTGATTATATCTTTTTCACGTTTAGTCCCCAAACGTTAGTTTCTTTTACGTAGTTTTATGGTTAAAACTATCAATAACCCTACAAAATACATTAAACTTCAAGATATGCACTACTTAACAAATCTAATCAATTTTTAAAGAGGCTCGCATTTAGAAAAATAAACTATACTGGAGAAACATTTTACCTACACCCATTCATCACATGTTAATACCAAAACATAAGTCAACAACAATATTTCTTAACTACTCTTCCTATACATCTAGAATTTAATATAAAATGAAGAAAATAAGTTTTGATATGATATCTATCAAACTATTCTTACATGTGAAGTATGATCTTTGCATCAAACCCTTGTTTTAGATTTATCATTTTCCCAATAACAATCCCTATTTGGATTAACCAAAAACTTTCCACCATATCCTTTCAATGTGTCATTCATTCGACCAACATTATATCTTTGTTGATCAATCTGAATCCTACCACTTCGGTTCCCCACATCATACACATGACCCGATCCCTTCATCATGTCCCCCTCCAACATGCGTAACACCTTCACAAATAATATTTAATAAACAACAAAATAAACACTTTTTTAATCAACCGTTGGCTAGATAAAGTGTTGAATAGAAAAATGGCGTGCATGTAAGAGTAACTGTTAATCGTCTGAATTAAAGTAAATGACCATTTTATCCTTTTAAGACAAAGTAGGAAATTAAGTAAGTACCTGTGACATGCGAGGTCGTAAATGTGGATCCCGTTTAATGCATAAAGAAGCAGCTTGCATCATGCAATAAACCTCATGTTCTGAATAATAACAGTTCCTCAGCCGAGGGTCAATTAAGTCATTTATGGCATCTTGTTCCAACAATGGACGTGCCTACAAATATCAGAGAAAAAAAAAACGTGGTCATTTTTTATGTCTTTTGCATGGAGTGTCCCATTGGCATCAGTCAGTCTAATGCATGTCAAACACAGTACAGTCTGTTATGTTGTAAGGCTATCTGGAACTTACCCACTCTGCTAGACATTGTTGGCCTTTAGGACGTTTAAGGTCCACTGCTTTTCTTCCTGTAATAAGCTCCACTAATACAACCCCAAACGAATACACATCAGCTTTTTCGGTGATCTGGCCACTCTGTGCATATTCTGGGGCTAGGTATCTAGATAAAGAAAATATATAATTAATTCACAATATTATTTAATTGGTGTAAAATATAAATTAAAAACTTACCCAAATGTTCCAATGACTTTTGTTTCTTCTTCTGTGTCTCCATCAGGCTGCCATCTTGCTAGCCCAAAATCTCCAACCTTGTAAAGGTCATGTTTTGAAGCAAAATTAAACACAAGAAAAATTTTAAATCATGTTTATAATAAAATTAAAGGTATATTGATATTATGTATATACCAGAGGTTCAAAATCATGGGTGATGAGGATGTTGTTTGGACGCATGTCTCTATGAACAATGCAACCTACTCTGCATTCTTCATGAAGATACCGCAATCCTCTAGCAGCTCCCAGAGCTATTTTTTGGCGTGCTGACCATTCTAATGGATCTCGATCACGTCCTGCATACATCACAACTCCATGTAAACACTGCTTACAATTTGCAACAAAAGGGTAAAATGGTCATTTAGTCTCTCGTTCAAACACTTCAACAAAGAAAAAGACTCACTTCATTTACCCATACAACATGAAGTGTTTGTATGGGTAAATGATGTATGTATGGAGAAAATGTTGTATACATAAAGATTGTGTTTTGTGAACTACATGGAATGTCTTAATGTGAGTAAATGACTATTTTACCCTTCTCTCAAGGAAGAAGATAAGTGGGCTTTCGATACTCTTTAAAAGGAAATAAAAGAAATGGAAAAATGATAGTTTAGCAGATCTGTAAGTAATGATGGCAAGTCTCTTTTTAAAACTGAGTAAGAGAAAATGTCCAATTCACCCTTATATTTATTTGAGTGAAGGTAGTTGTAAGAAGTACCATAAAGATGAGAATCCAGGGAGCCATTGCATACATATTCATAAACCAGCAACCTCCTTCGATCCTCCATACAGAATCCAATCAACATAACAACATTTCGATGTTGAGCACAGCTTAAAACTTCAACTTCAGAACAAAATTCTTGATCCCCTTGAGAACTTGCAAGTTTATGTTGTTTAACAGCAACCGCTTGTCCATCTGGAAGCAACCCTTTATGCACAGATCCAAATCCTCCTTCAGCCAAAAAATTATTCACAGAAAATCCTCCAGTAGCAACCTCAAGTTCCTCATAAGTAAACCACCTTGGAGGCTTTCCAAAAATAGGCGCCTTATGTTGACATATTGAACACAATGGAGGTGGGAAAGAAGGGGTGCTTCTTGATAAAGATATTGCATCTCTAACATTACCTCTAAATTCTGTTTCAGAATATTCACTTTTGGAAGTTTGAGAGAATTGGGAGGTTGAAGTGAGGATGTCAACCATCCATGGTTGAAACCTTCTAGAGAAAGATGAAGACAGATTCTCACTCTCTGAGTCTGAACTCGACTCAGCGAGTTCGTGATTTTCTTTTATAGGGATGAAAAATGGTGAAGTTCCTGGATCAGAACTTGAAATTGAAGTCCCGGGTTCGGTTAAAGATAATGCCTCGGGACTAAATTGAGGCGAATAATTTTTGTCTTTTTGTAGGTTTTTAGATGATTGATTTGTCATATGGTTTGCTTGAGGTGCATTCTTGGGTGATCCAATTAAATTGAGGCGAATAATTTTTGGGCGTGATTTCTTGATTGTCACAATGTTGCATTGCAACTCTTCCATACATCGCTTTTGTTCATGTTTCAATTTTCTACAAGGAACATAAAAAGTGGTAAGTTATACTCCAAATTTTGTCTATTTCAAAAGTTTATAATCTATTGATTGTAGTTTTGAGTATTACTTATCTAATACGACCCAAGTAGCTTGAATTTGTTTGGCCTCTAGAGCCACTGCTCCATAGGGCAATCCAGAAACTGTTTTTATCTTCACATTTATCTATTATGAGATAAGGGCAAATTAGTAAATTACTCAGTCCCCAGTAATCATGGAGATTTAGAAAAAAGAAAGCTTTATATGGACAGACCTTATTAGGATCATACATGTTATGTAGTTGAAGAATCATTTGGGAGCAGGAATCTGCTATATCACTTTTTCCTAAATATGACCTCCAATGGCGACTAGCACAATCTCCAGTAAATCTTGGAAGACCCCATAATCTTTTACCTAATTTAGAGTAAAGAAAGAGAAAATGGTAATGACAATCAAGAACAAGTGTGAAGTTCAAGAAAGAAGCATAAATTTGTAAAGAATTACCAGAAGGTATGACAACAAGCAATGTAATGCAATGCCCTGGTTGAACCACATGAGTTAAAGCCCAAACCAAAGCTGATTTTGGAATTTCCCTGGATGCTTTAACAGCAACAACGACTGTTTCAACATTATTTGAGTCCTTCTCCTGCTTTCCCATGCTCCTTTCTCTAGTCATTGAGCTCAGAAATAGAAAGAAGAATGCCTTCTGATGTGGCTTTTATGATGTATTTTACCCACCAAACACATTACAGTGAATTCAATTTCTTCAAGAGACAATACAACTGCGTAAAAGAAGGTTTTAATGTTTTGTACCAAAGATTGACAAGATGAAAACATAATGACAATTACTGTGTTTGACTCTTTGTACTCTGCCGACCATAAAGTTATGATTCCATAAATATGTAGAGGCAGAATAATTCTCTGTTATTCTGTAAGAGTAATCGGACCCCTACCTGATAGTGATACCTCAGTAGTCCACCCTTTTGAGTTTTGACCAGCAGTCAGTTCCTTTACAAATCTCCAGTCCAAGTTGTACTTAAAAAGAAAAAGGAAATCATTCCAGAATCCAGGGTGCTAGCGTTTACCCAATTTGCTATTCAAAATCTGCAAAACTTCAAGTAAATAATTTCAGAAATACCATAAATGGCGAGCACTTTGAAGCACATGAAGCGCAAGATACACAATTGGTGTATTAATCGTTCAGTTTCTAATTACGTCTTCGGACACTACAATAGAATTGAACAAATACAAAGAAAAATTAAGAATCCCAATTTATATACATAAATTATCCCGAAATAGTAGAGTTTACCTATAGATTGCGTATGTGATATGGCAGCAGATTTCAGAAACTTCAGTTGTTATAGCTTCACTTCAAAGGAGAAACGACATCCACCAATTAATCCTGCAATATCCACAATACATCAAAATTTTACAGCGTCATACACAAGTATAGTTACCAAATACACAAATGCACGAATTAAAACGGATTTTAATCATAAATTCGACACCAAAGATCTCTTCATTTTGCCAGAGTTTATATGCAATGGAAGTATGGAACTATGGAACTATCTCCAACAAAACAGTCGCATCAAAATTTTACACGTATAGCTGCTATAAACTAACATTTAATAACGCGAGGCGAGTGGCTGACGATTTTCGACAATTCGAAACTTCTCCGAATGAAAAATAAATTTCTAAAACGAATTAAACAAATATTAGAGATATTATAATTGGAACCTGTAACGAAGATCAAACGCAAAGATATCAACAAATCTGAACAAACAAACACAAACATTTACCCTATCTGTATGATCTTCTGCCGACGTTCAACAGTTTGGGTTTTAATGGAGAAAATTGACTACGGATTACCCTGGTCTTGCTGAATCTTCACTACTGACACCTTCGTTTTCAGAAAAAGCAGTCTCGAAATAGGCGGAATTTGCTTAATTAAATGTTCCTCTCATTTACCGTCGAAAGCGACAACTTATAGGGGGTATGAAATTTGAACTCGAATAGTTGCATTTAGCTACCTCGAGATTTAAAATTTGACCAAAAGGTCCTTTGTTAAATTTTTAAAAATGAGCCGTGGCACAGTTTGTTGCTCGTTTACCCGCTACGTCTATGTTAAATTTTCTTCTTTATATTAATACTAGTTGTGAGGCCCATGAATTTATGGGTTAATTAAAAAAAATTAAATATAAATATCAAAATATTTGAGAACTTTGAATTTATAAGAAAAATAAGAAAAGTAATGAATTATTATAATCGAAATGTTTTTTATCTTTGAAATTTAAACAAATACTTTAAATAAATAAAAAATTAATAAGCTTTAATTTTTGGGAATTTTGAAATTAAAAGTTAACTTTATTAATGAAATTGATATTCATTTACTACTATATTTATTACAATTATTAAAATTAAATATTATGTAAATTTTAATAAAATAGAAAAAACTCATAAAATGACATGTGGGAAAAAAATAATTCAAAATAACCACAAAAATGATATTTGTCAAATTGAATAAGAATGTGACAAGTGGCAAAAAAAAACTTTCATTTATTAGAAATGATATTGTCGATTACCATAAAAACTAAAGGACTACTAGTTGGGTTATGCTTTATGTAACCTAACATTTAACGGTTACTCGTATAACAAATTAGAAAATTGACAACACTTGCTTATAAGAAAGAGTCGGGAGTTTGTTGAGTCGCTCTACTGGATCCACCTTATTTAGTCTATCAGCAACAAAAATCGAAGAAAAAGAGTATATGGTTAGAAATTCACCTTGGTGATTATCTTTGTATTGCATGAACTTATATATAACAAAGTAATTTGGCTATGTTTGATAGACTAGCTGAAAAGCTAATTGGTAGCTGATAAAAAAAATAACGTTTGGTAAAAACTAACTAATAAGCTAGCTGGAAAGTGTAAAATGACATATAAAGATATGTAGAAAAATATGTTTACTATAATTAATAAAGAGTATATTTGAGAGAATTTTAAAAAATCTCTATAAGCTAGTTGAAAAACTATTATGAGTAGTTTTTTTAAAAAGATAATTTATTAGCTATTTATTTTGCTTATCAAACATGACAACCTAAAAAAACTTGAAAAAAATAAGCTAACTTATAAGTTAGTTGTGACGTGTCAAACATTACTTATATATGAGTTCCGATAGTCATTAGCAGTTATCAAGAACTGTATAAAACAAGTCAAAACATCGAAAAATAAATTGAGTTATTCATCATATTGGTTTAAAATTAAAATGCAAATTTAAACATTCAACTATTAATTAGTTTATGTTCAAAATAGAAACTTAAAATAAAAGATGATAGGATTGGACAAACTGATGGTGTTAGATTGAAAGAAGTATAATTTTAAAAACTCGGAATTCTAAAATAAAATATTATTTATAAATTTATGGTGTGTATACATATATAAATATATATATATA